AAAAAAAAATCGACGGAGGGGGTTTAAGTGAAATTGAAATCGGCGCCGTATTCGCTTGCGCTTCGAGGACAAACGAGTCCGGCCGGGATGGTTGAGCCGGTGTCGGTCTCCCGTCTCCAAACCCGAGTATTGGTCGAGGACCATCGGGTCTCCGATGGTACCGCCGGCCCGGGCGGTCCTGGGCCGGCCTCCGGGCGGTCGGAGAAGCGGTGTGGTTCCCTGTCCCTCGTGTTGCACTCGCACGCCGGATCCGAGAGAGAGGGGGCGAGTTTAGCGCCCCCGGGTCACGGGGGACAAAAAATAGGACAATATCGTCCTCCACTTGTCACAGTTAGGGAAGCGCACTGCTGCCAGCCAGCGAGCATAAACTAAAAGCTCGTGTCGGGGCGCGTAATTATAAGAGATGCGATGGTCCATTGGGGGTGTGTGAATGAACCATGACGCACCGAGCTCCCGGGAGCACAGCCGGGGCTGTGGGCTCAGTTGTACACGACTGTCCGGCTTTCCCTCTGCGGGTTTAATCACGGTTTAGTCGCGCTCCGTGCGATTCCACCCACCGCTGGGGGGGAAAACCAACTGCAAGTCAACTAGTGACCCCAGGTAGGAATCGCCCGGTGCGACACAGGGGTGCCATCGCGGGCTGGTCCCGTGGAGAGTGCGCCACGATCTGCCAAGTCGTACTTTAGAGTATTGTAACGCAACGGGGGTTTAGGCGGGCGCCCTTGCCGCACCGTCGGGGGCTCGAACCTGGGACTCCTGCGACACTCAACAGGGACCCAGCCCGCTGAGCTAAAGAGAGATCTCTCCACAGGCCAGTAGCTGTAGTCCTGCTCTCACAGGGAAGGGCGGTGACGTCACCTGCTCTGGTACGCCGGCTCTTACACAGTGCCTGTCGGCCGTAAGCGTTACAGTATTATTATACGAGGTGACGCATTTTTGTTGTTGTTGGTTTTCTCCTTCCTGGCAGCAGTACGCGCCCGTACAAGCGTAGCCACGACGAGTGTGTGTGTGTGTGAGACGGGTGAGGGGGTGCCAGGCGTTGTGCGGGTAGGCTGAGCCCCCCCTTCCACAAGGAGGCTCCTGACGTTTCTCTGCTCACAGAATCGCGCATTTTTTCTCCCCTTGATTCTGTTCCTGGTGGCTTTTTTGTTTTGTTTTAAATCTGTATTAAAAGACCTGTTCAAAGGGACGCTGTGTGACCTGTTTTATTACGTGAGGATAGGGCAGGGAGAGGGCACGACCCCCAGCTGAGAATAACAGCGGAAACGTTGAACGCCGTTATTTCTGCGCCGCGTACAGAGCAGAGAGGGGGGGCGGTCCGGTTTGCGGGCTCGTTCGGACCTGGAAGGTCGCGGGTTCGAATCCCGGGCGAGGCGCCTCGCCTGAATTGCTCCCACCGATACCCTGTAGCTGGAGGAAATGCGTGCAATTGTTAAGTTGTTTTGGAGGAGGAGCGCCAGACACAGGACGGCTATCGGGAAGAACGGCATTGCCGCCTCACAGCGCTGGGGCCCCGGGTCCGGTTCCCGGGATGCTGTCTGTGTGGAGTTTGCACGTTCCTCCGGATGCTCCGTTTCTCTCCCGCAGTCTGGATTCACGCTGGTGGGCGAATCGGCCTTGGTGTGAGTGTGTG